TCCCGAACTCCATCATCACCAGTACCAACCACAATATCAATTACGAAATTGCAAGGCACACTTCGTAAACATTCCCTATCGACACGTTTACGATTCATTTCGTTTCGACAAAGTCCTTCACCCTAAAGTCTTTCTTTACGACCCCAAGAGTCCCGCCGCCCTTTCACCGCAAGTTCACCCCTTTATTTAGTCTTGGGTTCAAATTCGTTGTAACTAGGTAAAAACATTGACAGATTAGATTTCAACATTCTATAAGTATCTATCTTGTACAAAGAAGAAATACTTCCAAGTAAGTTCGAAATTGTAGATAAGTTCGAGGACAGACTCAAACTTTCTATGAGTGTTTTGAAACATTTGATTCGTGTGATCGAAATTTTTGGACATTTATAAAGTTACAAGTGCGAATACCCAAGTAAAAGTTATTGAGCTTCGAAGTTAACTTGTGAAGGTTGAATATTTGACACGAATATTTACAATTACGTAAGTTGTTCAGAAGTAACGTTCATCAACTCCATAAATCGAAAAGTGAAGAAAAGTGATGATTTACCATTACTATAACTTGATGTTATTTATGTCATCTTTTTGCTACGAACGAACTTATGGAAGTAAAAAAATAGAATTGATTAGTTTAGCTCCTTAGATTCTATGTTTTGAGTAAAGTTCGAATATACAGGGTGGTTGGTAACTGGTGGTACAAGCGGAAAGGGGGTGATTCTACGCGAAAAAAGAAATCGAAAATATAGAATAAAAATTTGTCGTTTGAGGCTTTGTTTTCGAGAAAATCGACTTTGAATTTTCGCTCGGTACGTGTGCACTTTATCACGTCTCGTTATAACGGATCTCACTGTAGATCGTTTTCTCGATTGACGTTATTTTTTTAATTTTTTAAATTTTTAAATTTTTATTCTATATTTTCGTCTTCTTTTTTCGCGTAGAATCAACCCCTTTCCGCGTGTACCACCACTTACTAACCACCCTGTATAATGGATTTGATTGCAATAAGTTCATATTGATTCCATCACTGCCAATTATACTATCCCTATCTTTAATTGTCCTGTGGGAGCAACGTCGACCCATATTCCCTATGAATAAGTCTCCGTCGTGTGTGTCATGACATTAAGCAACGTTCGTGCAAAGGCCGCGTGAGCTCTCGTTACTTCTTCCCGCGACTACCGTGCCTGAAGACAAGTTTCTTGTATGCATAGTGCATTAGCAAGGACGCGTCGAAGCACACTTCCGCCATAATCTCGTTGGACAAAGCGATAGCTTATTTCCCCGCGACGCCATTGCACCTGCAACGCAAAAGTCAACACGATCTCTTCTTTGAATCATAAGCATCATCGTTTGCATCTTTCAGGCTGTGGACTGTTTGGTGTCTTCTTCTTTCCGAAAACTTTTTTCTCTTTTTTCTTTTCTTTTCTCTTGAAACATTCGCAGTGGTTTCTACGTGGTATTCAAGCATTGTCAAGTGAAATTTCTGGCAGAGTTGCTGTTACCAATGTCGGTAGCTGGAATTAATCCTCTCAGTTCTAAAATCCTAGAAAGTTTTCAGGTACCGTGGCGGAGCTGCGGATTATCTTGTTACGTGTAGGCGCGAGTTATACTAATTTGAATAATAATTACAGAAGTTTAGAGATTCTTTGCTCGGGGAGGATGATGGTTCTTCTTTACAAGTGTCTTTTATATTTTACTTAGCTTTAGCTTTATACACAGCTCATGAGTATTTTGTGTTCGATCTATAGTAACGTGGTGCAGGCATTTTATTATGGTTGCGAAAATTATAATTCTTCTCGTGTAATCATAGGAGGATTATATTATTTGTTTAAAAGTTTATCAATAGCATAATAAAATCGTCTGAAGATTCGCAAAAATTAGACTAAATCAATCCATCTTTATACATCTTCTTGTCCAAGAAATGATTCTTCACTGTGAAACGATCACGTTAATACATAATTCTACCTTCAATTCTACTTTTACAACATGTATCACGTATAAAACACGTTTTATCATTTGAGTAAATTCTTAAACCGAAAACAATGTCATTCAACCAGAATATGCAACCATTTCCGTGCTCTCTATTCACCCAGAACGGCAGTGAAAGAATACCGAAAAGCGCAAGCACCGAGAATTGCCCTTTGCATCTCTGACTTACTTTTTCATCTTCTCGCCCATACGACGCTCTCATCTAAACAGCCCTCGAGACCGGTGGAAGAGTACTAGATCCGCCAGAGGCTGGGACTACCAAGCAGAGAACTATTATTAAAAATACAATCGAGCCCTGTTTGCAGGGAACGGTCACGTTGTACCTGTTCGTTTGCAGATCGTCAGTCGCGCGAGATTGTCGCGGCGCAGTGTCGAGCGGCACGTGTCGCATTGTCGACGATTCATCTTTCCTTTTCGATACCGAGACACGATGTAGTTCGTATGAATGAAGCACCCTTGTAGGCAGAAAGCTTTCCACAATGCACTGGCAGAAAATATTTGCCTCGCGAGGGTTTCATCTATACCGAGGCTGGAACAAACAAAAGCTCTTGCGTACACTAGGGGTTTGGCCGAGCCTATCCCTCTCCCCATGTGAATGAAAATCTTCGCCCTGCGTTGTATCGTAAACGCGCAAGGCACTCTCGTGGGGTCGTTGCACCCCTATGCGACAGAGACAATAGACGGCTTCTTCGTGAATGGCGCAATTCGTCGGGTCTCGATGACATTATTGGTTTTTCTGCCAATATTTGCGCGAGATTTATGCCTGCCTCCCTTCCACGTTTTTTTCCAGACCATGATAGTGTATCGACGTACAGGCGTCTTTCCTTTTGCTCATTCACCAACCAATCGCTTTTCTGTTTGGACGGGTCGTAAAAGAACCGAACTTTTGGCTAATTTGGCTGTTGACGGCCGGCCTTGCTTTTTTATTCATTTCACTTCCATTACGTCGGCTCTGTCGCTGATCAGAAGACGATGAGAGGACGAATTGTGAATTACGCTTCGTCTCTGGTTCTACAATTGCAGACTCTCTCTTTATAATGATAAATAATAATGATACGATAATGATCGTATGCACTGTACTCCAGAATGTATCGTAGTACTAGTGAGTATGATGTGATTCTACGTAAGAAAATTGTGTAAAACGGCACAGAAAGTTATACCAAATTCGGAAATAATTAAAAAATATAGTTGAAAATTGTTTCGTTGAAAGTCTCTCAAGTACACCGTATATAAGCCTGTTTAACTTTTATACATTATATTTTAATGTATAATTAAAGTATAATTGTAGTCATTTGCAGTTGTACTTTACAGCCCCGTTTGTCTTTCGTCAAAGTAAATTCAATGTCAGATGCAGAATAAAAATTATTTCTTTTTCAAAGATTCGCGATTAATTCGTCTTTAATTAATTTCACGATGGTCGTTAATTATTCGCCATGCAGTGGGAAAAGATTTACGGTAGAAATTTTCTTTGAGGTCTTTCTGGTCCGCTCAGGGAACAATGCTGACCGAGTTTCCTGAAGTTCTTTCAATCTGTCGCCACGGCAGCAGGTGCATTCTTTCGAGGTCCATTTCGTCCGGCACGTTCCACGATTATTTTGTCGCGGTGTCCTTGATGATCCTTCTCCCGTCTCAAACGAGCATTTTTGCGGTCGCGTCAGGTAGACGAGAGCCCTTTCCCTTTCAGCGGCCGCTTCGATCTCCATCGAAAGATCTCGTCTACAAATTGGCCCCTTGGTTACCTCTGGCCACAACAAATCTTTACTTCGTCAGAGATGAACGAAAACATAATTTTCTGGAAATTATTTGCTTTAGATACGCTTGAAAATAAAGTTTCCGTAGTCTCTAGGGATCTTGTGAATGAATAGTGAGCTTTGCGCAAGAGATTATCTAGTCAGAAAGCTGTATAGGCCATAGGTTATCTCATTCTCTATTTTCGTATCCGAAACAGTGGACTAATTACTTAAATTTGTCGATGTAATTTGTTTTTACATAGATTACTTGAACTGCTGAATTAAAGAAATATTCGAATGAATTAATCATTCTTGGTTTATAAATATGTAAATCTAAAAGTTTATGAATTAAGTAATCATTTTCAAAATAAGTATTATTCGATACTACTTAATACTTTTATTTTAAATATTTCATTGATCAACGATATACTTTAGTATAAGTAGATTGCGGATGTTTATATATTTCTGAAAAATCTAAAGATGATAAATAATCAAAAGTACATAAAATATACGCAGAGTGGCTACTCTTATGACATTCAATGAATGAAATAATTTTCTGTTTATATTCCATTTCTTCAATTATTTTCCCAGAAAAATATCAATTCTCCATAAACACCCCCAATCTACTTATAAAATTAGAAGCATAATAATAATTCTAACGCCACGAGAAGTTTGCATTGTCCTATGAATAATGAATCGCCCGGTTTAAAATTCAAATGTCATTCCACGAACAATAGACGAATAGTTCGATGATTATTCGCTTTCGATCCTTGGAATAACCGCGGAAAAAGATCTCCACCAGTAAGTAGTGGGCAAACAAATCTTCCGCTGATGACTATTGACTTAGGATGAACGTCTGTATATTTAGTGTTTTGCATTTCGCAACGTGCACATCTTCTCTCTTCCCTTTCTTTAGTCGTTTCGGAGACTGGTGCGATGTCGATTAAGACACAATACCTTTCGCGATACTTTTTTTAATTGTTGAAAGCTTTCAGTGATTTCGAGATCGTAAAGAAACCATACACTTATAGATTTTTACACGCGAATATAAACGCTCTTATTCATTGATTTTACCTTGATGGGGAACCTTGTACTCTGCTCCAAGAATATCAAAGCTAAATGGCTCATTCAGTTTCACTCCTACGCGAATGTTCTGCAACTAGATTATAAAATCTATAAAATTATTTTCTAGTGATGTACTTATTATTATTAACCGGTTCACAGTGCGATAAAACGAAGAAGAATTCAAAAGGAACAATTTCGAAAATAATGATACCTTTTTCCGCAAAATTTCTTGCTCTCCTGACGTCACATTCAAAAAATACATCCTTGTACAGATACAAAGATACTTTCAATAAATTTTAATAATCTAACTTTAATATTTTCGTAATAAATTTTAATAATTTCATTTTTACAATGAAATGTTCTTTCTTTTTCATTTTTTATGCATGAAATACAAAGAACAATTCTCAAATTATTAATATCCGTAAAACTAGTACAGAGAAGAATTTTCATATTATGTCAGTTAAGGTCAAAGGATTAAAAGAACGTGCTTTCACTTCTGAGCTGAAACTAACTCAGAAAATGAATTTCGGGTTTGCAGTGAAAAATAAATCTGTTTCTTACTCGATGTTTTCTACCATACGTACGTAATACAAGATCTCATAAAGAAAAGGAACTTTCATAAGCAACCAGCCCTTGCGACCAGCAAATCACAGCGTCCAACAAGGTCCAGTGGCTGAAGAAAATATGAGCGCGACGATGCTCACGTATGATTAATTGGCCGTTTAAGTACGTACACGGTGGCTGGGACAAACGTCAGCCCGCATTTCGGCCAGCGGAGAATCCAAATGGCTATGGCACACGTGATTAATCTAATTGATGTGACATCTCTTGTCCCGCACGCCGGCATACGCGAAACACGCGTGCGCAGCTGCACTCGACATTCGTGCATGAGTTGTCGCCGCACTGTCTTCATTAATTAGTGTTTTGCCACGGTCTAATGTGCCGAACAGACGGGCGTTCGATGGCCGTTTTCGATATTCTGATCGGTGTCTCCGACATGCGTTCATTGCTGACCATTGCTAACTATGTGGGTGACCACCATTTCGCTCGACGTAGCTTTCGAATCTTGTCACAGTTCGATGGGATGATAGAGATACAGTAAAGGCTGATAACGTTTTTGTACCTTTAGCTTGTTGTAATTGAAACTTTGAATAAAATAAAATATGTTATTTTGTGGAATATAAAATCTATTCGCATTTACAGTGACAAATCGGCTGCGGTTTGTGTAAATTTATATGTTTATGAACACAGGTAAATAGATCTTAAAATTGGGATCTGTTTTAGCTATTAAAAATTATAACGAGCACTCTATTTTGGATATTTTATACATTATTGTATATGCTCTGTATTCTGTGTCCTTGCATCTCCTAAATAAAAATCCATGGTCTAATGACGAATAATGTACAACACTAATTTTATAAAAAAAAAGTATACTCAAATCGAAATATTCGGTGTAGATTCTTAGAAATTCGATATCCGAAACCTTATGAAAATCGAAGAAACTAGGCTCAATATCAGAAATTAAGACGCATAATGTCCTGTTCACAAGTTCACGAACACCGTGTTACCCCCATAGAGTCTTTTTTCCTCGGAACCGTACTCGAACCGACAATTTTGCTTCCGGGATAGAGGTTAATAAACACCGTAATGGCGGTCTAAGAGGATGCTGTTGAAGAAAAGAAAAAGGGATTCGACGTAGCGTAAAAATCCGCTATGGTAACAGCTAGTGGATGCACGAGGGTAAAAAGGTCGCGGTTAATTTCGAGTCCGTTCGCTAATGAGCGATTTTTGCGGAGTCCAACGTCACCCCTTCGTTCTCTCTTTCTTACCGCGATTCTCGCACGAAATTTGCTTTTTCTCTTTGCCTGTGTCGAAAAAGAGAAGCGCGTTTCGCAATGAAGAGGTAGAATCAAGCGACTGTCAGACGCCGTCTGGATTTTCGTCAGGAATAAGTCAATTAGCAGTCCTAAGACGGGGATCCGTTTCGTAAAGCTTGTTCCTCCCCACAGCCATCCTTGAGAAGTTTCAAGTGTTCCGAGATGATATTAATTAGAGCTCCCCTGTAAATGAGATGGCAGGGTGTAGCAGTTTGTTCATTAATTGCTTTTTTTATTTTTGATTGGGCGTGTCGAAGAGCTGGATTCGTTTCTTTTGTTGCAGTATACGGGGATAGAAAAGTCGTAAAACAGTAGACGAACACAATGATGTTTCTGGGTGATTTTCGAGCAAATTTTGCACGCAGATAGTTCGTTTCGTACAATTTCACAAAAATTGGCAACTTTTGTGTAATCCAGCATTTTTCCATTTTTCCATATGTTCGTAACAAGACACTGCTTCTATTTTTTAAAAATGTTCTTTATATTGTTAATAAATAGATGGGGAATAAACTGTTACATTTTATTCATTAGAGGTTTACTTTGTAATTATAATTAATCAATTCTGATCGATTGATCAAAGCGTTAGAAATATTATTGTTTTGACATTTTTCTAAGGTTTACTTTTTCGAAGCAAAGTGTAAAGGTTTCCGGGGAAATGTAGGCATGGCGAGAGAAATTTTGGAAAAAATTAAACTCTCAAATATCGAAAGACCGAGTTCTCCAAAGCCTTGATTATATTTACGTTGGAGAAAATTTGAATGTCGAGAACTACGAGCGACAAGATCAAAAAGTCTACAATAGTAACGTAGGTAGAAAGTCGAACAAGCCTTCTGTGGGCTCGTTCCCAAAACACGTCTCGTTTATTTGGACTCGTTCCACCGACGCGAAACGTTGACCCTTCTAAGCCAGCTCTTTGGTGTCGAGAACAACCGGAAGTCGCGTGAGGCGAGATTCGGTGAATAAGATGACTGCCTGATGACTTTTCTTTGTCGAACAGCTCTGTTGCACCGTGAGAGAACAGAATGAAATGTAAACGCCACCTCGGTGTCTCACGGCTATATTAAAGTACTGTTGAAAGTACTGTTGAAGTATTGTTGAGTAAAGAAACGTGTAAAAAGTAGAGTATAAAAAGTAGAAAAAAATTGATCCTAATTAGCGAAACGTGGACGTTCTTAAAAAAATATCTTTACAAATTTTAAACTAATGTTGAACAACGATATTTTTTAAGTAAAATTTGCGGTTGTCGACAGCTTTATCCGTCGGTACGTGCTTCAAAGATCATGCCACTTCATTCCATGCGAGATAAATGCCCATGAATAACATTTTTGTCTCTTGAACGGACCGTTTCATGAAAATCCGGCTTCTGTTATCTCGCCGTCGTTATCATAGACGGTAGTTTGCGGGTTACACGATAAAGGGTAACCTGCTCCGATGTCTAACTAAATATTATGAGAGTAGGGCGGGCGCAACTCCGACAAGGCAATGATAATAGTATCCACAGCTTCGCGTGGAATCACGAAGATATCTGGCGATTCCAGCGTTCCAAGTTTAAACTCTTTTCTCTTAAAACGCATTAAACTCTTTTCGAGATTCGATCTAGGTCATTTACCTTTCCATTTACTTTTCGTAATCGTGTCATCTTCCTTTCCTTTTTTAATTCATAAGGTAAGATCGCAACATTCATAAATTCTTATCATAAATATAAAATAACGAGGATTAATATACTTAAATCTTTTTTAATAAACATATTTTTTTTATTACATATAATGCAATCCTTTAAACGCGAACAAATTGATTTTCTTCCAAACATCTTTCAATTATATTCTCTCTTAGAGTTTATTACCTTTTCTCTGTTACAAATGACTCTTCCACTTTCCAATTGAATTCTTCTTCTGACGATGCGACAGGCAATGAATTCTCATTTTCTGTTCGATCCTTCTTGCAATCAGACATCGTTTGAAACCCGGTAGCCAACGTCCTAGTCGACATTAGTTTATAACGTCGCAATTGTGAGTTGCGATCGGTCAAGATGAATATCTACAGAAACGCAATTCCAGCTTCGCCAAGACAATGGGCCTCGCGATGACATTGATGCATAGAGCGGGATAATCATCGACGAATAACAGGTATTCCGTGTATTCCGGGAACCGAAGGTATTCGATGTTCGGAGTAGGCCAATAGAATAGGGACACGCGTATAGAGGGCGAGCGAATAATTAGACTCGCGCGTTTACGGTTCAATACACCGTTGAATGCAATAAAATAGTAAATAGTTGTAAAAATTGTATTTTATTCAATTGCATGTAATACTATTGGTTAACATAGTAGTACTAACATAGTTAACAACATATATAGAGTTAATTAATGTTATTTGCTAACAGCTTAAATACGAGTATCTACTAAATGTCACAATAGAAATAGATCAATGTATTTCTCTCTTCCATTTTTATCTGCGACATTCATCAATTTTTAATTAATAAGTATAATAGAGTAATCAGACACTAAACGTATCTTTCGATACGAGATATAGTCGTAATAATTTTATTTTCTCCTAGCAATCTCAGAAATTCATCGACATGTACAAGTCGTCGATCTTTCAAAATTTCCATTTCTCACGATCGATATTCCATCTTTGACCCATCGTCTACTTTCGAAGCGTGTTGCGCCCGGTTATCTCGATCGTGGCTCGCCACGATACATATATGTATACGTAAGCTCTTGGTCCTAAGAGCCATTTAACGAAATATGTACCTCGTACGGAGATTGCCATTTATCACGATCATCCCGGTACCATCCGGACGCGCAACTACTTTATTCTCACGCGGTGAGAAATCGGGTTTGCCCCGATGGACTTGTTCGATTATCCTCGCGTCGGAAATTTATTCAATATGGAAGAAAGGACGCGTATGTATATGGAGGCCCCTCGTTCCGAAACGTTGCACCTCTGTATCTCTACGCTCGTATCGTTTTCCGTGAACCCAAACGTGTTACTTGGCGCGCCGATGGTGCATGACAGCCTTTCCGCGGCACTTTCTACGCGTTTATTAAACCGACTACGGTGAAAGGAGTTGCCGCGACCGCCAGAGAGCCGCGAAAGCCTTTTCAAACGCTCTCTTGCCTGGAAAGGTCGGCGTCGGCGTCGACGTCGACGTCGACGACTAACGACCACCAACGACCGATTCAAATACCGTGGGGCACCGGTTGCGTTTCGTTTAATTAATCTTAATTAATCGCGCCAAAAAAGAAAACTCGCCCTCTCTATTTACCTGTCAACTGTAATTATCGAGCGGGCTGGTTCAACTTTCTACGTAGAAAATGTAGTTGATAGCCTGTTACTCGCTCTGTGACGGCTTTACTTATGTATCGGTGATAAAGTATGTCTATGGATGGCTGGTTCGACAGCGGTGAATTTCGATGGGAATTTCGATGAGACTTTCGACAGGTAAAGATTACTCGAATGTATTATATGAAATAGAAGGATGAATTTCTATAGATTTGAGAAGCAGTCCCTGGATTACCTTAAACTTTAAGGGGTGAAATTTGGGGGGCGAATCTTAAGAGGATCGTAAAATTTATTCTGAAGGGTCGTGGTCATTTTTAACTAGAATTGTTTTTATAGAATTATTTGTTTATCAAATATAATTAATTTATGTCTTTTCTTCTATGACAACTTATGTATTTCAACGTTTATGCTTTGGTACAAGTCAAGACATGTTTATATAATTTTAACGATGAATGTACATCTACTGTTTTTCATTAAGTAGAAGCTGCTTATACTCCTTGTAAAGATAGAGAAATTATATTTAATTTCTTAATTAAATAAAATTATATAATTATATTCAAATTATAGTCTGAGAAATCCATTTTCATGTATCTACTTTACTCTGTTAAACCTGCCTTTCTACATAATGATAGTAGCGCAATGGTTATACTACAGTCGTAAACATAGTATTGGTACAAACGTACAGAAGTCATTTGGCTATTATAAAAATGTGTAACTCGAAAAACAAAAAACGCTTCTTGAAGATTCCTATTCTATACTCACTTTATCCACCACACTTGTATCCAAAACTCATAAAGAAGTATCTCGTCGAAAGGTAGGAAAGAAGCTAATAAAATCGAGCAGCGAAGCAAGACACGATCCAAGCCAATCCATTTGAGGAGAGCATTACCGGTGATGGACGCGTAACGAGAACTCGGTGGAAAATCGCAAGCGGATTAAATTCATTACATGGGCCAGTCCCTTGACGGCCGCGAAGCCGATAATTACAATATTCACAGGGAGACGCGATCCGGCGCATGACTTATCGACCGCACGGTGTGTGCCGTGATGATTTCGCGTGGTACGATCGTGCGATTATGTTAGCGTTAATAACAAGTCGGCACCTCGAGCGTGGCTCGTCGCTCGCGGCGTCGTTCCACGGTTCCTGAAAGGATGCTCTCTCATCAGCCCGGTTTGAAAATCCCAAAGATTAGGTAGGCCATAATTTCCATCTTGGCCCAACGCCATGATATCCGCTTCGGGTTTTCGAAGGCCTCCTTGATTCCGCGAAAATGTCGATATTCGGAATACCTCTGCCTCCGCCATTCTCTTCTGCTTCCTTTTACGAGCGTTTGGATGCCACGAACGCCTCAAGGCCTACGATTTTCGGTGTCATTTTTAATAAATTATCGGTTCTTTTGGGTGAGTAAAACATTGGATCGCTGCTGGTGGATTTTTGGTTGCGGAAAAAGAAAGGAGTAAGATGCTAGGTATTTGTTAGAACAAAATTCAAGTCTTATTTCATTGAAATAATTCCTGTTATTCAAAGTACGAATGTATTTGAGCCCTAAATTAGTTGTTAGTGTTAGCAGAAATATTTAGAAAATATTTCTGATATAATTTTTAAATTTCTTATATGCCTTTTAAAGAATATAGTCAAAATTGATATCTTTAAAAACGAGTAATTCTCAGAAAAAGTTCCTTTTGTGAAATTAGTTATTAATTTCTTAAAATCTGCCTTCAGAATCATTAATTTATACATTTATTTCTTAATAAATTAATTAATTTCTACACTTTCTTTTCATATAATCTCGACATAACTCGCGAACAGAAATCACCACATTTACAGAGAAATGCTGAAACTAAAAATACGAAATACTTCGCGAGTCGTAGACGAAGCGTTAAAAATTCCTCCGTCCATTTCAATTTCTCAAAAACAAAAAATCCTGCTTACGCTCCATAGCCATCGCGGATTTCGCTCACTCCTTCAATCTCGGAAAAATTCCATCCACTCTTTGGAAGCGCATACCAAACAACTAGGAGCAGATTTTTCGCCTATTTTATTTCGTGCTGGCTCGTTACGTTAACGACTTTCGCAGAAATTCCGCGCGTCGCGTAACGCGATACGAATTTTTCAATCAGCGCGGGAACGACGCAGATCGAGCACACGAGCGCCGGTTAATTAGCAGAAACGCCGCCGTTGGATTTTCGCACGGCGCACGCATTCTTCGGGCATAAAGCACACAAATAGGGTTAACGCGAGTTACGCTAATTAACCACCGCGAAACATCAAAGTAACTCGTTGTTCTGACGTTAATGGAAAAGTCAAACACTCGCGAAAAGAGGTGACACCTTTCACCTAGCGGGAAATCGGCGCTAAAGTGTTCCAACTGTTCCAGTGAGAGGATGTTCCGCGAACACCGCGGACCAGTTTCGCAGGGAAAGCAGGCAAAATGCATGGACCGAGACGGGAGGTTGATGGAACGAGATTCGAGCTTCTGGTAGGGTGTCGGGATTTTGTGTCTTCCATTGTTTTCCTAAAACTCTATTAAACTTCGGTGCTTAAGAGTTACATTGAGTTAACGCGTAGCGATCGATTGGATGTTGACTTTTAGATGAAAAGTATTGGTGATTTGTATAGTTTCTTCTTCTTCAGGAATTTGTTAGGTCTTCTGAAATTACTCCAAATACATCCAGATTTATCAATAATATCCACCCTGTTTATAATAACTTATAGGTATTTATTCCTTTGTGCACATTCCGTACACATAATGCGTGAATGTGTCTAAGATATTCGAAGTAACGTATTCATAATGTTTAGAACACAAAATAAATTTTTATTTAGATTTCAGTTCATCAAACATCCATAATTTGGTACTAATATTAACTCCTAGAATTCAGTACCTTTGTTAAAGAAATTTCCCATAAATCAATTCCTCGAACGAAGTTTCTCCAACTTCTCCAAAAATGGAGATGGTCACGTTTCGACCTAGGTGAACGATTTCCTTGGCAAGATATCACTGAAAAGAAAGTTTCGAAGTAGCAGGAGGTGACGTACGGGATGTTTTATTAAAAATCTTCGCTGGTTGAAATCGACGTCTTCGACAGGACGGTTTCGGGACGAGGCGCGAGGGCCAATCGTGGCCAGAACCAATCGAGCATATCTAGTTGGCTGGATCTTATATCTTGGCTCAGCCGCTGTTGCTGACGCTCCTTGTTCACCGAATACCATAAGGAAGAGGATGTGCCCACGATCCATTTATCACTGACCTGGCCAGGAGAAGCCGGCCGGAAGTACAAAGCCACGAACACCGGCC